GTGCAAATCCACAAGTGACACACAAACAGGTGAACTGGTGAACTGAAGCTGTGCTAGCCGTTTTGTTACTGACTAAAGCTGATTTCACAACCAGCAATAATACAAATACAAGGCAGATTTGTCTGATACGCCGCTAACTTGATACGCTAGCTTTGGAAGTACCACTAACCTGAGGTATTTCGTCACAGGTGTCGTGTCATTTTTTTGTATTCCTGCTGGATGCCGACACTCAAAGTCAGAGAGGAGGACATTCTGGCATCCTGTCATTGTGCCTGTCAAACTTTCCTCCTTTATCTCTTCTAACTTTGCTCTGAAATCTTTTTTGAATTCCATATAGGACTTAGGTATAGGAGCATACAATTTATGTAGTAAAATTGTATTTTTTTCCCCTGAAAAGGCAGCCAATTATTTGTTCGTTTTTAAAGATCTGTCTTATTTTTTGGGCCTTAAACCCTCTGTACCCCAAACTGCAGATTTTAGAGACATGCTGTCTTAACAAAAACAACCAAAATTGCACCATTTACCGCAGTCAGAAGCTGTAAAAACAGAATTTAGATTTTCAACTTCCTGGTGGTTTTTGAGGACATGTGCCAAAAATATACAGTTCCCTCAAACCACATTTTGCAAAAACAGCAAAACATTCTACACTTCTTGACCAACAGTCACATGACAACCATTTGACTGAACTGGAAGCTTGTCTGTACACTGAGCATATAGGAAACAAGCATAAAACTAATAAAAATGGAAGTAAAATATCTATAATAAGTGGAACCACCATTTTTTTTTGACAAGTACTGGAAACAACTGTTTGAAAAACAAGTGGATTCCAGATTTTTTGCAATTTTTATAAAGTTAATATGAAGTAAAATGGTGTAAAGATTCTGATTTTTATATTGCAGAGGGCTAATAAAGGGTATTTCTTGTCCAATTACTCGATTAACCAGTGAAACATGACTAAAATAATCGATAGCTGCAGTTCTACACTGAACACAACGCTACCAAGCTCAAGATAGACAGTTTTATAAAGTGCTGCAAATTAATGCGGTACCCGAGAAATGATCTTTTTTAGTATTATTATTGTTGCTCCATGCTTCCTTCTTTCTTGTCAGAACCTGGTAGCGGCGCGACCCATAACGGAACCACGAGCGCTGGAAGTTTAGTTCGAAATTCTGGTGTCTTATGCTAATGTGGCCTCGAGCTGCTAGCCTCATGCAGAGATGAGAGGGCTATGAAGCTCACTTGTTTCCCATCCCAAGATTTAAAAAAAAAAAAAAAGAAATTGTTGAAAATCATAGTCTTCAGCCCCAACCGACACTGACTCGTGTGACATCTCTTGTGGCAATTTATCAGGCTTTTGCTCGGATCCCCCTGGAGCAACACAAGGCTTTGTAAAACTTTTTTTTGTTTTTTTTCCCCCACACATGCGCTTCCTTAAATCTGTAAGCAGACTTTGATGTGCGAAAAAGAGTGAAATTCCTGTTTCAGTGCATCTTAAGAAAACTGTTAAATTGAATATGATTATGTGCATTTCATACATATTGCCTGGTAGCATTGTATACACACACTCCCAGATGTTGCCCTGCACTTGTTGTATCCCCGAGGAGCAGAAAAGAAAAAAGAGCAAAGAGACAAACAGAAAAAAAACCTGCAGCACTTTTTGCTTTGGAACTTTTATGGTCGGTGTCATGGCAGAGTTTCTTTTAAATCTATGTTTTTACATGCGACTTGCTGCTGCACAGGTAGCCTTGGGGTAATCGAAACCTTCCCACACTGCGGGGCCCTGACTGTCTCTGAACCCACAGAGCCGTGCTGTGCACTAGATCACTGTATTGAATTTCTATATAATTAAAGTCACCGGGGACAAGGTAAGGGAGAAATTTTAAGTGGGAGATGTGCAGGAACTATAGTAAATAAATAGCTACTCCCATCAGCTGAACAAGCTCTAATGCGTTTCACTCAATTTAGCCAATGGACTTAGCCCATTGCTGTTTAGCTGATTGCTATTTCCTATTCTGCGATCTGTCACTGGCTCTCCGTTGCATTTGCCTTGAAGAACAGGCAAGGCAGAGTCATTTGGCAGCACTAATCAATACTGTTCACTCTGTGCGAAGGGCTTATCAATTTCCAGCCAGTGCCTTGAATAAGAGTGGAGGAGGAATTTGGCTTATTCATTAGGTACATTTGTTTCTTTCTCTTTTTTTTTTCTCTCTTCTCCTTTGCTCAGAAAAGTATGTTAAGGCCGTGCCATTTCATTTGCACGGAAATCAATTTCCTCTCTTTTCCCTTCACTCTTGGAATGCAGGTAAAACAGTGGCAGCGCAATTACAAGTGAAGAGATTTCCATTGCGTTTTTATGTTTGTCTCCGTTTGGCTGTGGCAACTCGTCTTATTGAATGCTAATGGGGCGGGTTTGTAGACTCGCAGGGCCCGGGCCGAGGGAGACTTATCTGTGAATAATGGATGAGTTAATGTTAGCGAGAACTCATCCAGGAACCCTCCCGCTCTTAAGAAATACTGCTGAAAAACGCATAATCGTATATCTTCAATATCCTAAACTGCCTGATCCGGGTAGACAAGGTCATTCAGCGATTTCACTTCCCTCTCGGCGCAGTTATGTGGGTGAGGAATACAGTGCTGAGTAAAAGTTTAAATCGCTAAAAGTAAAGCCAGACTGCTTTCAAAAAAAAAAAAATATTGCCAGGGAGAGCTTTATGTTAGTCATACAGTTCAGTAAACTGGAAAAACTTAAATCAATATTTGGTGTGATATTTTGCCTTTTAAACAGCATCTATTCTCCTACATACACACAGTTTCTCAAGCTACTTGGTTATCCTTTTTCTTTGGTGGGGGGGAGAAATTGGCTTCTGCGGATTCATTTTGTCTCATTTGCTTCTGTTTCTTGGTGTAATTCCTGACTCAGTGATGTTGAGCTCAGGGCTCTGAGGGGGCCACACCATCTGCTGCAGGACTTTTTCCTCTTCTAGTCTTGACTCCATATGCTCGTTGTTGTTGCCGTGCCGCACAGTGAATGCGCAGCCGATCAGATGCCTCCCTGATAGCGTGCGATTGATCACAGTCGAGACATCAAAAGTGCCGAAAAACCTTTGCACAGAGTTGCATTCTGGTGCGCTGCTGTGAGGAAAACATGCCGTGGACTGAACAGGAAGTGTCATGTCTCTTTGGTTCAGGGAAAATCAGATCCTGCACCTTTTATTGTAGCTTGGTTGTGTTCAATCCGCTGAAAACAGGATGAAATAGAAGACCCAGGTTGCTAAATAACACAGAACACAATCCCTTTATTTCCGTTGATCCTCGCTCTCACCCGTCCTCATTGTGTGTCGGACAGAGAAGAGCTGGCTAGCACTTAGCATTCAGACATATTTTCTTGGTTTCATGGACCCAAAGGGGACTACTCTCCGCCAATTTGAAAGTTCAATTTGCACCTCTCCATCAGATTTATTTTACATTATAGCCTGCAGGCTCTCCGCGGCCGGCCTGGGGAAAATGTAAGTTAATAATCCACTTCCAGCCCGTCAGATATTTTCGGCGAGAGAAAAGACAGACGGGATGGGAGGTTTGGACAGTGAGGATGTGGTTGGTTAGCTGGCTGCTTGATTGACTGATTGACCACAGCACCACGCTGGGCCGAGCTGTAGGCTGGTAAATGCACATTAATCATGAGGGAAGGTGGGGACATTTTTTACATTTTAATAAAACATACCTCATGGTTAACCACGCCTCATGATCAGTAGTGTCCAGAACAGTCGAGGAAATAGAACCTGACTGGAGCTCGGGCTAACGCCAGTATTAATATTGGAGATCAAAGGGAGAATTTCGCTTCAACACAATAAAACAGTCTGGGGCTTTTCAAATACTGATAATAAAAGAAAAATATTCAAGACATCTCTAAGAAAAATACTCATTTTGTGTCCAGGAAAACTTCCAAATTAAAATATCGGTAAATTTTAGCCATCGATTTATTTTTGTTGACGCGGAACAAGCCTCGTCTTCCTGATCAATATTTGAGAGTTTAAATTATTAAATAGCAGTGTATTAGCTTTGATTTGTTTTTCAATATAAATGGATTTTTTTAGATGTTTTGCAGTTAAAAGAATTCAGCACATCACACAGTAGCAAGTTGTGAAGAAGGCTTGCTACAAGCTACGTGCATAAACCTGGAAAAAACTTTGAAGAGGTGAGAATTGGTGCTATTTTAAATGTCACATATGGTGAGAATCCGATTTAATTGTGTTTTGTATGCTTTATAAACCTGGAGGTGTAAAATACAAGCTGGGAGATAATTAAGACGCATCTTTTGTTTGTGAATTTATCCAGTTTCTGCTTGCAAAGTAGGTAAATAATAGTCGTCAACTTCACTGCCTGCTTCTTCCGAGGTGAGCGATTCCAAAGGAGCAGCTGCTTCGGCTAAAATATCTCAGCAGAGCACAATGGCTGTTCTGCTATTGACTGCAAGAGTGAACACAAGAGTCCTTATGCACTCCCAGCATCTGAGGAGCTCAAGACATCATGGACTACCTTCATTTTTGGCAGCAATGTCCTCACAGCAGTGGTTAAATCTTAGTGTAGTGCATGTTCCGGGCTAATGTGGCTAACGTTACCATTAGCTTTTGCCCACAGGTCAGAACTTAGTTGAAATTTCTAGCAGAGGAACAGTCAGAAATGATGGAAACCAATAAACAACCTGCAACCGAAACTGGCGTTTGAGTCTGTTTGCTTCTCTCCTGCTCACATATACTGCAATTTAACATTAATTCCCATTAAAAGCTGTTCAAGTTTTCAATTTTTCCGCTTCTGTTGTCAGACAAAAGTATAACATCGTGACTAACATGGAGCCCATTAAAACCCCCATGTTGAAAGGATCCTCTTGTTTATTGCCTAAAACCTTTGCATGGTGCTAAATGTGCCAATCAGAACAATCGTTGTGTTTAAAGGCTCAGTGCTGAATCTAAAACTCTTGTGTTTTTGTTGATGTTTTGCAGAAGAGCTACGGAAACTTAGCTGGTCCGGAATCCCACGACAGGTCCGACCGATAGCGTGGAAGCTCCTCTCAGTAAGTTTCACACACATGCTGCATTTACATACTGTACATTCGAACACTGCTGTGACACACTGGAACACACACTAATTTGTGTAAAACATAAAAATACTCAGAGAAACACTTGCACACAAACACAATCCGAGACAAAAAACCTATGTAACCTCACACGTAAACAGAAGGGAAACACAGATTAATCAAATATACACACACACACTCACACACACACACACACACACACACACACACACACACACACACACACACACAAATGCAACCTCACAAATAATAAACACATTACAGATGGTCTCAGGCACACACGAGCACACACAAAGTGGCTGTCATGTTCTTGGCTGTCCCAAACACCCCCCACCCACCACCCTGTGTTTTTTTTTTTTTTTGATTTATGAAGACTGGTACCAGTCCTGCTTTTTTTTTTAAAACTTCAATAGGGAAAATTAATTGCGAGGCACAAATAATTTATTCATGAGACGCACGGTGTGTTTACTCATTAAGCCATTGTTGTTGTGTACGGCTTCTAGTCTGCAGAGAGAAGACTGGCTTTTTGAACGCCATGACTTTCCCATTAATTACCGCACAATAGCTAATGTGCCGCAGAAAAAGATGCCATTAAAGGTGTGTGTGTGTGTGTGTTTTTGTGTGCCTGTTTGGTGGTGGGAGGTTACCGACTGAGCGCTTTAACCATTAACTGCTGCTTTGTTTGATACTCCGCTGAAGTGAAGGCTCATAACACCGTATGAAGTCTCAAAGCTCCCGGCTGCAGTGGAGGCAGTCGAACACAAGGGAGGGGAGGAGGGGGCACCTGAGCACTTCCGCCGACTGTTTTGTGTACTCGCGTATCCGTGTGTGCGTCTGGGTGGTAGCTAATGTACCAGAGATAACACCCCATTAATGGTTTGTTCAATTGTACATCTTTGTCTTTGTGCGTGTGGGTAGCCACCGTGTGCACACGTATCTATACGGCGCGTCCATATGTAAAGTTAACACTGCAGTGCACTTGAGGCTCGCGAAGCACAGCTGCCCCGTGGTCTGCATAAACGATGGTTGGACCGCCTCTGCCTCCCTGGGGAGAAACAGATGGAGCTAGCCGAGGTAGGGGGGGGGCAGAGAAGCAAGGAGTAACACAATAAACAGTAATGAAAGCTGAATATAAATAGCAAAAGAGAACAAACGCGGAAGAGATTACCCGTTACTGTTGCTGGATACTGTTAAAACCGATCCCTCCTCCGTATGTTCTTCTGCCACTCTTACACTGCGTTTAGCCTGGAGGGAATAGTTTGACAGCTGTAACAGACAAGTGTAATTACATTTTGACAAATCGGAACAATTAAAGGTATGCCAAATTAGCTGGCTCTATGCAGTGCAACAGTGCATAAAGAAGGAAAACTTGTCAAGTTAAACACAGTTTGCGCCTTTCTGTCTGTACTTCCCAAAGCAGACTCTGCTCGTGTTTATCTGCGATGAGTATCTGAGATAATGACACACTCCAGAGTGCATCTAAAAATATCTGCATTATGTCTGCGGTGTCCTGATTGGCTGAGTGCTTTTTTTTTTTTTTTAATGCAAATTGCAGCAATCCATGTACTTCGATTGTCGGCTCAGCGTTGGAGGAGCCTCGGCAGCTGAGCACGTTCGCGAGCGGCCAAAATCGGCGTCCAAGATCTCGGCTCCGGCTCCGGCTCGCGAGGCTTTTCCATAGATTTCTCGATCTCGGAAGCCTTGTGCGGCGGCGTGAATTATCCCCGGGTTAAATCTGAGGTTCGGATTAAAGCGAAAAGTGGGACCAGTGTCGAAAGCACTCACATCGTCTGAAGTGTCATAACACTTGACTGCCTCTTCTGTCTTGCCCGTGGTGTGATCCAGTAGGAAATAGATAGGGAGGGATCAGGCTCGAGAAAAAAAATCCATCCTCCGTGTGGCGTGCACGCACACAGACACACGCTCAGACTCGCAGCCCACGCCGTTATTCCATAAACTTGGCAGAGGCACCTAATAAAACTTCACTCCAGTGGCGTCCCTTGTGCCCTTCTCCTGCTCACCAGCGTGCACCAACTTATTTGATTTTTTTTTTTTCCTTCTCTTTCCTCCCCTTCCCCTCCAGCAGGCATGCTTGAGCCGCACTCTTCTTTACTTGACAAAGACGAGAAACAAGTTTTCCCACTGCGGTCATAGCTTCGGTAATGCTCCCCCAACGGCTTGCATTTAACCGCCGCATCACAGAAATCGTCCATAACTGTCTCCGCTGTTATTAGCCGGCGTGGAAATGAAAAAGCAGACAAACAAAATTTTGAAAGCGAGAGAGCAATTTGTAGCCTCCCTCTGCCTTTTTTTTTTTTTTTTGCAAGAGGCTCCACAGGTTGCCCGCGGCCTCCGAAACACATCCGGTTAAACTTCCTATTATTTCAGAAATAATACCGTCTTATTTCATTTGTTTAAAGAGCACTTGGTGTCCAAGCCTGAAGGAGAAAAGGGAAGAAATTAAATGGCTTTTCTGCTTTGTGAAAGAATGTCAGCCCGTGGCAATATGTACATTTGCTAATGGAGTGCGGCTGTTAAATGTGAAGTGGCGGGAGAGGAGAAAACTAACTGGCTGTGGAAATATTGATAAGGCTAAAGGGTTATATGAGATATATCAGCGAGCGGCGGCGGCGGGGGGACAGATTTAGAGATTATTATGTTAAACTGTTACCGTGCAACAGTACACATCATTACATCGCCTGAAAGACGAGAACAATGCGTTGTTTTTTTATTTTTTATGATCAACCTCCCTCAGTATGCACAACCCTAATGGCACGTCGCATATTTCCAGAACATTTTGTCCCTTTTTTTTCCCAGTTTGTACCAGCTCATAAGAAGTGCAGATCCACTCTGGGTATTAACTATTAGGACCCGAGCAAATTGCTTTTTGTAAATAGATTCAGGACCAGAAAATGAAAGATGTTGCCTTTTGTGTATGCAGATCTGTGGGGAAATAGGCTCCTTGCATTCGGCCTACTCGATGTATTAAAGGTGCGTCATCTCTTTAGTGAGGCTGAGTGAAAAGCAGCGCTGTTTACTGCGTTAGAATCCATTCCTCCTGTGGATTATATCACAGGTTTATTGACAAAGTTAGGAAAGGCTGTCATTTAGTCAGTGTGTGAACTACACTTTGGCTTTCAGGGGCTCACTTTTTGTGGTCAGAAATAAAACAGCATTTTTAAGGCACCTTATTTAGATTTTATGGCTCATTATTCCTGTTAATAAGTTAGATTTTTATAAATTAATATTGTTCCTATTAGTATGAGTAATAATTTGAAAGCAGATGAAAAGCTGCCTCCTGCTTTTGGGAGCTCGGTTTGTTCTTTGGTTTTGTTTCATGGCATTTAGAGCTGCTGCCATTAGTCGGCAGAATCGATGACGTCGAAATTGCGTTGATGTGAGTATTTTTAAATATGTAAGTGCTGTGAATATGTTGGGTTTTTTTCCTTTTAGTGTCAGTACCTGCTGCATCAGTTCACCACAAATAGACTCTTCAAATAACGGACTCATGTGCAATCAATCGTTTAATCTGTGTGCGATTCTTTAAGTGCTGTTATTTATCTTATCTTTTATGTAAATATAATAAGATAAGATAAGATTTGCCTTTATTTATGTCACAGTGGAGAAATTCACATTGTTGTCAGCAGTACACAGAGATACACACATACCAGACAGAAAAATGTACATATAAGAAACACAAGTATAAAAATACAGATGTAACAAGACAAAAGTGTAAACATAGAACAGAGGATATATAGAAAATACATATATATGTATAAGATATGTCGTGGAATCGTGCAAATAACCAGTGAAATTTAAATAAATATGTCTAAATATGAGTATTGCTCTTTTTTTGGTATATTAACTAGGGGATATTGGGGATATTGCATGTTGTGGGTCTACTGGGGCTGGTTGTAGAGTCTCACAGCAGAGGGGAGAAAGGACTTGCGATACCATCTTATTGCATGAAGAAGCCTGGCACTGATGGGACTTTCCAGGGCTTTTACAGTCGCATGTCAAGGGTGGGAGGCATTGTCCATGATTGATGACAGCTTTAATGCCACTGGTTGTTATTTTTTATTTTTTATTTTTTTGTAGTAAATCCAATTTTCTTGCTAAAGCTATTTTTTATTATACCTCTAAGGACTTTAGATTCAAATTGTATATTCATTGCTTACTAGCTCTGTTGCTGTCTTGTTGTTTTACGAACCCTTCATGAGTACTGTGAGTTTCATGTAACCAAATTCCTCGTGTGCTCAAGCTCAATTGGCAAGGAAACGTTTTCTGATTCTGATTCTGATCAGGACTCCTGTTGTTCTTGGCTCCAGTCATTGGTTACCTGCAGTCATCGCAACTATTTTAAAAGATTTTAGTGGCAGCAAAGTCCGACACGGTTTAGTTTAAAAGTTTCCAAAACTCAAGGCTTCTAAAATATGAGAGTTCTTCAAATGATCACAAAATGAAGTTTGTGTCACCGTCCACAGCACAAAGCACGAGCACCTCCAGAGAACCACTCAGACACTATCTGGGCTTCTCTCCTGCTCTCTGTGCTCACGTTTACTGTATTTTAATACAGCCTAACTCCTCATAAAGCTGTTCTCAGCTGCATATTTTTCTGTTTCTGTTGTCAGACATTAACACTGCATGTTAACCAGAAGCTGCTCTGCCCAATTGAAATCTTTGTTTTTACAATTGCAACGTGATCTCACAAACCACATGAGTTAAAGATGAAGGCTGTGCTGTGAATTCATTTATATTTACGTCACATTTAAACAGCATCACAATGCAGAAAACAAGGGGCTTTCTCTGTCCACTGTGTCTTTGTTTAATTAAAAGATAAACCTTTTCACTTTGTTGAAGAGGTTAATTGAAACTTAATAATAGCCCCTTTTTAAATTTTGTCATGTTGGAGTTGTCATTTTATCTCCTAACATTTAATTTGGTGCTTCATTATATTGTGACATAGTCCCAAAAAA